GCCTTTTACTTCCAATTTGTGGAAAAACTAAACCTACTGTTTTTTAACTGATATTAATTAAACTTTCTTTCTATGTACTGCTTATTACAAAGTTTGTCTGCATATCCTTTCCCCCATAGTTTAGCAAATCTATTTTTAGTAAGTGAGAAAAATGCTATTTCAGGTATTTCATTGATCTTGTTTACAATTATGGTTGCATGCCTGTTGAGCTTGTCAAGGTATGTTGTAGACAAAACCCAACAGCTATCCTACACATTTGCACAACAGTTGAACAGAGGTAAAAACATGGCATTTTATTAAGTGATATAGGTGAAACTTGGTAAGACTTTGTGTCCTTTGGCCTGTTCCCTCCCTATTRAGGGTATGGTTTTTTTGGCCAAATACTTTCAGTGAATTTTASATTCAACAGAAATCTGTGCATACCCACATTATTTTCACTTTTCAAATTTCAAAAAGTTCAKGAATGAACAAAACGTTTTTCTTATARTCAAATTAAAGTAAATTGTAGATATCGGAGTTACACTCTGTTGCCTTCAAACAATTGTYTCAAGTTGAGGCATTTGGGTCAATAMAATGAAATGTATAAAAACTGACCCAAATGTAACAATTGTCTGAAGGCARTATAGTGTAACTCCAATATSTGCTATTGATTGGAGAATCAATTTCAAACTTTCAAACAGCCAAAAATGCAATTTCATGCCAACGTTTAATTTTATTTGGAAAATATTCCTTAACTTCCAAGCAACAGTTATTAGAACCTTTATTTAAAATCATATAGCAATTTAAGCCCTCCTGAAAYGATATTTTCAAACCACATGAAACATTTATTGCATTAAAGTTAGAAAAGATCATTTTTTAAATTGTGATTACTCTTTATCCACTGCAACACAAAACTCCACATCAMAATGAATATGACAGAAATCAGTATGTGGTATGGAATTCACCATGTGAAATTGAATTCACCATGTCTGTCAAATCAACCGCATTCAAGACTATTGCTAARGTAAACTCTACATTAAATTTTATGTACAAAAATAGCAACACACAACTAGCTTCTAACAAAAGCTTTTTTCTTTACTTGGTAAATTTTTACAACACTGTTGAAAATGGGCCTTTGGGGTGAAWTTGTTCTTTCTTTCTTCAATCATCACAATAGTTTGGATGAACAACTAAGTATGGATCCTCTGGTTCAGAAGCCTTGTCTTCTTGATATTCTTGTAAAGCTAGAATCACTTTATCCTACAAAAGATCRTCAGAATATTTTTTAAGGAAGGAAATATTTTTTAGGAGCTGTAGAGCACTTGTAAAGCAAGAGAAAATGAGGTCACCCCATCATTACCTGTGAGCTGTGAGCTGTACTGTATTCACGAATGAGGGATGTTAGTTRATAACGTCCCTCAAAAGACAATGGATTTCAAGGAGATCATGATATTATTTTGTTTATATTAAGGGTTTAAAAAGTCATGRTTTAAGACCTTATTCATGGATTTTTTTCTATAGTAGGTAGCCACCTTAAATCAAGGGTGTTTTAAAACTATAAATACTCACATGATCAACCAGCCGGTCAAGTACTCTATCAACCAGGGTCTTTTTTTGACTCAACTCCTCTTCACTTTCTATCTCACTTTCAATTTCTTTCAGGTACCAGTTAACAAGATCRCTTCGACGAATTTTTTCCTCAGCTAATGAAGGAACACAATCTTTGTCAAAACTAGATAAATTAATGATAAATTCAAGGAGTAAGAGCTTATCCCATTGTTTATCATTCTGATAGCCCAAAATGGGATTTCAAAAAAAAGACTAAATTTCAACAAGAAATCTAAAAATCTAAATAATAATAATTGGTTAGATTTTATCAAAGGTACATGTTCAGGAGAAACTACATAGCATATTGAAAAAGCCTGAAATCCTAAGTATACCAGGACATACCAGTTTCCGACTTTTCTTCTTCCTTCCTTAGACGTCTGATGAGCAGTTGAGCTAATCTTTTATACTCTTCATAGGAGACTCTCAACAATGATTTGCTTGGCTGTCCAGTTTCACCATTCACCATGTCATTGCTTGGTGTTTCTGTCTGTGCACTGCTTCTATCTTCATTATCSTCAATGTCCATTTCTGGTTAAAAGCATCATATCATTTAATAAATTATAATCATAATAAAACCTACTAATTAAGGTAAAATATAACTTTCTTTGACCAAAGGTCTCTGGCAGGTTTGACCAAGCCAGATTGGTTTCAGGGGAGAGGTAGGAGGGTTGGGCTGAGGGCTAATAACCCACTCCCATAAAAAAAGTTTATATATTATATAAACTGGAAAAAAAAATTGACCAGTAGGTTTGTATGTTTAAARGGAAGTTGGGGAGAAGAGATATCACACAGTCAGAATACTAATGTTAAGGCCTTTTGCGACTCATGACATCAAGTAAAAAAAAAACATGGAAGGACATAGCTTGAACATTTCAATCAATAACAACTGGACAAAACATCATGTTAATAGTCTTAGCTTTTGACAGAAT